AAAAAAAATCAAAAAAGGAACGGCAGTAAGACAATCTGCTAGGATTTTTACAAAGGACTTTCTGAATATCGCTCTCGCTGTGATACCTAAGTTCATTCCAATTAGATTCCAATTGGACTGTCATTTCATTTTACTTCGGCTAAAGTCTTAATTCATAGGAACGGAAAATAGATAAACTCTTCACTTTCTCTTTTATCCGTTACATTTTCAAAACTATGTTACGACCACGCATTTTTGCCTTCTTTGTCTATATAACAACGGATTTACCGGTCAATATAGTGTCTTTGCGGCGTCGGCAACACTTGCGCGAATAATTAACCATAGAGCGAAAAGAAAGCGATAATGTTTCAAGCGCGTGTGGCGACAACGCAAACTCACAGATGACTGCCAAACTGAATATGCTACGCTATGATCACCAGAATAACAAAAATTTGAAAGCGAAAAAGCAACAAGAATAAAGGAGAGAACTATTAGCAAAATTTAAGAAAAATTGAAAGATGTTACTCACCAGAGCGCATCGATATCACTCTATCGATGAGTTCTTCGGTTGTGGATCGTTTGTGCAAGTCGATGCAGACACGGTCATTATGGTCTTCCGGATTGAAGCAGTGCATGTACACCTGCTCACAAGTTTCTTTTCTCTCATTTACTCCTATTTTTCCTTCACTTACCGTGACCATATAATTGTGTGCTTCATCTGGCGCAGTAATTGTGTGCGCACGACGGGGGAAACACCCCGTCGCACCAGAAGAGATCGAATCAAACGACATCGAGCTGTGAGTTGAGAAGCATGGGATCCAATTCAATCACGAACAATGCCGTCGCCTCGTTCTGTAGTAGTCGAAACGAGAAATTCGCATAGGGGAGGCGTGAGTTCGTTCTCAACGCAAGAGCAATGGAATCTGAATCAAATTGTTTTTTCGACGGGAGTAAGAAAGCGGTTTGCTAATTGCCCACTGCTCGGCACAGGTGGCTTAAAAGCAAGCTGGATATCGTTTTTGGGACGAAAGCATAGGGGATATCGTTTTTGTGGCCGAAAAGATACAAAAATTGCGACATTTTTCCAGTCGACGTTTCGTTTTTCGAGGGTTTTTATACGTTTAGGGTTTAGGGTCAAAGAAAACTTCGTGAAATTTTGCGAAATTCAAGGGAAACTTAAGACTCATTTTTTGCATTTTCGGAAAGCTACCTCGTACCGAGCCCTGTAATTGCCAACCAACCTAGTTTCTAGTTACAAGCAAGAAGGATATTCAGAGTTGCAATATCTGAGCATATAGCTTGTCTTTCTTCAACTCAGAACTGTGGTAATATTGTTAGTTTTCTGTAAAATACAAATATTGAATGAAAAAAGGCATAGAGTATGAGCAAACAACGATTTCATGCAAAAATGCAATAAAGATAACTCTACGGCTCAGGAATTCAAAATTCGCATAAGAACTAAGCGGTAGGTCGGTAGCGGTAGCTTCAATCCTTTCATACCAAAAAAGGAAGGCAGTCAGAAGGATGTAGAAAATGAGAAGAGATCGATAACAGGAAGTTTCTAAGAATTTCTAGCCCAACAGTTATTGTTAGCTGTAACTCACAAGGGTAGGACTTGAATTCGAAATCGGCTTTCTACTTGCAAAATATACCAATCTGAAAAGCATCAAATGCTGAATCCAAAACTGTCCTTATATCTGTCAAGCGCCTGTAGACTCTGAGTTATGAGGGTTTTTTGCTCAAAACATTGAACGAACAACTGTAAAAAATTCACCCGAGATTGCGCAAATGGCCCAGCGTTGCATGTCAGAACACTCTATGCATTAAAAACCTTTTGTCTATACTCGAACTCAACACCTTTATTTCAAAAGCTAGAAAGACTATAACCATTGATTTTATCTAAATTTTGAAATCATTTTTGCTCCAAAAATACTCATAGCTCAGCGTCAAGGCGCTTGACAAAAAACAAAGACAGGATTTCGTTCTCTAAATTAAAGGATCTAATGTTGAGCGACTAGAATAAAGACAAAAAAATAATAAAAATGATAATGAAAACATAGTGTTGCCCAGAGTTGAGGTAGCGCTCTCAACTCAAGTGAAAGGTCAAATAAAACATTTCGATTTCAACCGATAACCATTTCTTGAGAAAAAACTCGTACGGGTAAAGCAATTTTTCTCAGGCACATTGATCACATTTCATCATTTTTCATCGACAAGTGAATAACGTAAAAATCCAAGTGAAAGTGTAATAAAATGTTTTTTAGCATTTGACTATCTATAAAGTATTGAGTGGAACACCTTTCTGCTTCAGTTGGATCAATTAAGTGAACAAAATTGCTGACGCTTAGTGAGTTTGGACTGAATAATGCAGTTTGAGAAAACTCAAAACTCATGCGGATTTCCCACTCTAATCATTCAAAAGCCAAACGTCAACCTCAGAGAACCCCAATTTAGCCACCCTCACTCTCGACTATTCCATTAGAGGCGCCAAAATTGTTCGAAAATATGATCATTTGCAGAGCAAAGAAATTCACTTCGAGCATTCCAGGGATTTTTAAAAACGGCAAGTCAACGAGCGATAACAGAACGATTGAACTAGAAGCACCTAGTCAACGCAGTAAAATTACACAACAAAATGCTGTATGGCTAAACGTTTCGTTCAAGATGACCCTCGTTAAAACAGATTTCATGCTGCCAATAACCAGACATTTATCAGGTAAGACAGACTGGGGGAGTAATGGGGATGAGGATTAGGTAATAAACAGCACACTTATTACACATAAGACAGAGGGAGGATTACCTCATGACTAATTCGATAAATTTGTCTTCTTTATGAGGCATCTTTGACAGTAACTAGCGAAAATCTCATCGCTTGAGCAGCAAGCACGTGCCGGCCGTTGTTTGCTGAGCTAGAGTTTGATGCGTCAATACACTCGGATTGATAGAGATGAAAATCGTAGATGCACTGATTTTGTGACTTTGAAATTATTTATTAACTAAGTTTTGCAACTTGTTCCATAGTTTCTCTCTTTTTGCATGTAGTAGCCCTCGAATTTGACACTGTTTAACCAGTGATGTAAAGTACAAATACAGCAATTTGTTCCAAATTTTGGCAAGGCGTATAAGGTTATGGAAGCATTTATGGATATTTCCAAACCATTACACTTTAAGGACATGCTGTATACAGAAAGACTCGCCTCGATGAGCTGAGAACAATGCTTTTTTTGGATTTAAACCATATTCGTTCCGAAGGAACTTAAGGCGCTGCGTAGTTTGCATTCGCGCACTTCCGCGAAATTATCGGATTCCGCAACATTCGCGGAGATTTTGCATTTCTGAGAGCTGTATTGTACAGTTTTTAACTGAGACTTCTAG